GGAGTGTGTTCACCTGACTGATTATATGACACTAGACTATTATACTATGTAATAACCATGGTCTGGGAGAGGAAGGGGTTGGGGAGAGATCATACCTTAACATGGGTGCCCGGCCACAAAATGGGTATAAAATGTAAATAGCAAGAAAGGTGTTACAGTCATTGCAATTATTATTCCTTTTTCAGTTATGTGCACTGTAATATGTGTGAATCTGTTGCTGCTGCCCATCTAATATCTTTTGGAAACTGTTTACTAAGTGACTGACCCCTCTAATGCCCTGTGTGGTTCCTATTACCCCAGCCACTCCTATGAAATTCACAATCAACATCATATTACACAAAGATTTGGTCATATTATACAAGATGTCATTGTCATTAACTATGCCATTACAAATAATGTGGTTGACTTACATAACTATCTTATCACTACATGGATTAACCTTGAGAAAATATTAAAATCTACTAATGCTATCCTCACTCCCTCCAGGAAAGAGAGTATCTGAATCAATATTATGATTATTGCCTCATCGTCCATCTGGTCAATATATATGGACCTCAAAAGGCCCTAAACAATCCCTGCAAATGAGCCCGCGAGACTTCGGGTCCTCTGGGCAACTGGGTCGCTGTTTGTGCAGCTCAGCCGACGTACTCTATTCTCATAAGTGATCTGATGACATACCTCCTTGATGAAGATGGTCAGATATATTGCACTGGATTAATTCCAATTACGAGCTTGTCGTGGCCAAACTCTAAGAGCAACTCCCGAAAACCTCCTTGCCTTTGGCACTCTGGTAAAGTCCAAACCAACCTGTCGGAGGTCTGGCAAGAGAGCCTAGACTGGATCCTTGTCAAATGTGTCACCACAGGAGTCAACATGTCCTTTCTGACTTTACATCAGGGGCATCATTTGTGTGTGTGTGTGTGTGTGGGGGGGGGGGGGAGGTCACACTTCCAGATTTTCTTGCCGAAATTATACTTTAGTAGCTCTGAACATGGCCTAGAGATGCTCCTAGACTAGCTCATTTCTCAAAAAAAGATTTCCTCGGAGGTGAGCAGAACCAGAAACCGACTGTGCTCGCTTCGACCACCAACCCTGCCCCCCACCCACCCCCAGAAGAAAAAGCAGTATTAGTGTTAATGAGAGTGACACAGACACTGCCCTCTTATAGTGTAATAAATGGAGTAATAAACATCACTGGTACAGCTGCTCCTGCCTCGTATTTACACCAGAGTCCTCAAAAATACCCACTGCGATCACCACTCAAGAGTCCACAACCCCCTAACCCCCTCACATGCCCAGGTTCTCAACGTCCACTTCCTGTAGGCTGGCACGAGGCACGCAATAGAGAAGAGAAAAAGAAGACAGGAAAGAGAATAAAGAGAAGGCAGGAAAGAGTATAGATAATAAAGAGAAGGCAGGAAAGAGAATAAAGAGAATAAAGACAAGGCAGGAAAGAGAATAAAGAGAATAAAGACAAGGCAGGAAAGAGCGTAGAGAGAATAAAGAGAAGGCAGGAAAGAGTGTAGAGAGAATAAAGACAAGGCAGGAAAGAGCGTAGAGAGAATAAAGACAAGGCAGGAAAGAGCGTAGAGAGAATAAAGACAAGGCAGGAAAGAGCGTAGAGAGAATAAAGACAAGGCAGGAAAGAGCGTAGAGAGAATAAAGACAAGGCAGGAAAGAGCGTAGAGAGAATAAAGAGAAGGCAGGAAAGTTTAGGTTTGGGATTTGATTCGCGCGATACCCTGGTTCTGGGATTTGGCCTCGGGAGCCGCGTCACCCTCGGTAAAAAAAAATGCCGGAGGCTGAAGCGACTCCCCTGCCGTGCAAATCTGCAACCTCGTCCCTTTGCCGGAGTGCAGAAGCGCCAGAGGGTGCCGGGGTCACTGAGGGAAGGGGTCACTGAGGAAGGGGTTACTGAGGTCAGGGGTCACTGAGGTCAGGGTCACTGACTGCCTTCTTCAAGCGGCTATTTGGACGGCTACTGGAGCGGCCTCAAAGGGAACTGCGCTGGGCTCTCTCTGGGCCTCGTTTAAGACTTCCCGCTGCGATTCCCCAAAGGCCAGGCGGAAACGAGGGAAACAAACAAAACAAACAAACGCGCCGAGAGCTGTCCAGGGAGCCCCACCAAGGCCCTGAGGGAGTAACGTCAGCCACATAAAGGCATAAAGTAGCATAAGACAGCGATGGCATAGAGTAGCATAAGGCAGTGAGAATAAAATAAATAAATAAAATCAAGTAGCATGAAAGTGAGAATAACAGTTCAAAATCGTATCATGACAGGGACCCTATACTGGAGAGACAAACTGCTCCGGCGTCATATCTCCTCGAATGAAAAGCCTGACCGTCTCAAAAAGCCTTTCCACACAACAATTCGAAAGCCAAGAGCCGAAAGCACGATACCATCAGCCGCGAGCGAAGGCATTGTGGCAGCCTATCCCCTGAGCTTCCCCGGCGACACTGAGGGAGCGTGGACTCACCCGCCATGTTGGAGCGCGGGAAACCCTTCGTATCTGAGGGACTGCGAGTATAAAGGAGGAATTCAGAATCATTGACGGTTTTTTTTTATTATAAAGTGAAGGATTACGTTTATTTCTTCAGTTTATTTTCTACAATCGATACTTTTTTATATTTGTGGCAGTTTATTAACCCTTTCGTATCTGAGGGACTGCAAGTATAAAGGAGGATTTCAGAATAATTGACGTTTTTTTTTTTCTTTTGAATTATAAAGTGGAGGAATAAGTTGATTTCTTCGGTTTATTTTCTATAATCGATACTTTTTTATATCTGTGGCAGATTATTAACCCTTTCCTATCTGAGGGACTGCGAGTATAAAGGAGGATTTCGGAATCATTAACGTTTTTTTTTTTTTCTTATTATAAAGTGGAGGAATAAGTTGATTTCTCCGGTTTATTTTCTATAATCGATACTTTTCTATATCTGTGGCAGTTTATTATTAGTTTTCCAGAGAATGGTGAGCATAAACATCACTTGAAATGTCAGTCTCATTTTTTTTTCTTCTTCAATGAGGTGAGGCTGATTCTATGGTTTAACTTCTTGATGTCATTAATGATTGAGGAAGGTAGGGATTTATCAGCACAGAGAGAAAAAAAAAAACTGTTGGTGCTGTGAGCGGGGAGCGCGGGAAACCCTTTTCTGAGGGATCGCGAGTATATGATAAGTATATGTATATGATAAGTATGATAATATGATAAGTATGATAAGTATGATAATATAATATGATAAGTATGTAATATGATGTATGTATGTAATATGATGTATGTATGTAATATGATGTATATATGTATGTATGTAATATGATGTATGTATGTAATATGATGTATATATGTATGTATGTAATATAATATGATAAGTATGATAAGTATGATAATATGATAAGTATATGTATATGATAAGTATAAGTATAAGTATAATATATGATAATAATCGTAAACGTAATGATAATGCTGCCATGTGTATGTAATAATGCTGCCATGTGTATGTATGCGAATTTGCTTAACAAAGGATATTATGGCTTTTCTCAGAATGTCTGTCTTTTAATTTTATTTTATTTTCATAGAAAGAAATGGTTTAACTTTCTTACTTTATTCATAAAGAGTAACAATGAGCTTTATTTTCTAATGGTTTTCAAGTGTAGTAAAACTGCATGAATTAATGAGCGCGAAAAAAGATGGATTGTATTTGAAGGATCGCGAGCATAAAAGCACTCACTCGTTTTTTTCTTTCATGACCATCAGATAGACAAGTGCTTTCATTTCATCATTTAAGTGTGAATGCAAAGAATACTTCTATCTGAATGGTCTTCCGACATTTATGAAGTGTATGTAAATTGTTTTGCATTGCGTCCTGAATGGCCATGAAGGAGCTTACTTGTATCCTTGGCGTATTCTGATTAACATTCAAAGCGATCTTAGAATCAACAATTTAAATTACCAACATCAGATAAGTTTCTAAAATTAAATTCTCCACGACATATTCTTCATAAACCTTGACAAAACCCTACAAAAAATATGAAATTAAAAAATGAGAAATTTCTCTTGCAGGGAATCGGACGGATGCGCGAGGAGGAGGAGACGGCCGCCTTGTTTAGTACGAGATGAGACGTGGGAGAGAGGATCACGATCGGGCGTCTCCGTCTAAACTCCCTTTGTAATGCGTCACTGTGTCATGCACGCCTGGGAAGTGGTACGCACCGGTTTCGTAAAACACCCTCGCGTAGTATCGTCGATTGGAGGAATGAATTGAGGGAAATAAAGCGATTTCGACGTGGAGGAGTGCCCGTGGAGGGTCGCAGGCTCTCCAACATGGAGGATTCCGCCGCACGACGTTCCTGCTGCTGCGACGTCGGGCGGCCTTTAAATGACGGCCTTTGATTGCTGAGGACTGGGAATGCGGTGTGGTGAGGCGGTGGTGGAGTGTGGTGGGGCGGGTGCATGGTGACAGTGCCATGCGAAGACTGCAACGGGGTGGTGTAAGAGAGAGGCTGTGGTGTGTGGTCGGGACTCGTGTTATTTGTGCCTCATTTAATTTAATTCTATAGCCTCTTTCATTCTATTTTGTCACTTTTCGCGTTGACAATGTTTGGGATTATATTTTGGGGGTGTGTAGCCATCAGCTTAATGAACTATTTTGTTGTTGTTCTTACAGACTTGCATATTTCATGTCAGCTGTTGGCCTAGCGGGATTGATTATTGTTTTTTTTTTATTAATTTGGACAAATGGAAATGGAGAAAGAATTCGAAATATTTGTCTTACCAATGGCAATTCTGATCCATGTGTTGTGAATTAAAAAAAGTGTTAAATTTTTAATAAGTTACAGTAGTGTCAAGAGATATATGCAATGTGAATGACAGTAATGTAAGTCTTGAATTGCAAACATTTTATTAGTCTCTTACCTGAGAGCAGTGAGAAATTCCTGTAGTAAAATCTTTGTTTACCTTGTGTATCAATGCTGCAGCCTTTCTATTACCATCATTGATTCTTGGTTGATTTGGTGAATTTTGGTAACACAGCCATTGGTTCCTTGGCAAAGGTTAGCAAATATCAAACCTTGTTTGGCTGAGGCTTGTTGGCCTTTGCTGGAGCACTGACAGGCACCAAGCTTGGACTACATGTAACATTTGGTTAGATATGATCTTGTATGTTTTCCATTATTGAAGTTTTAGTGTTTGGTAGCAATGGCTTTGACATTCAGGATGCATGTAGTTATACATATTGGTGTGAATAGAAAGTATCTGATGTTCTGTTCCCTATTAATGTCCCTCATCCCCAGTGAATAGCCTGTGAGACTTATGGAAATAATCCATTTTAAGTCTGCATCAAAGGTGTGTCATGTATACTTGATTTTTGTCTAATGTAAGAAAATTCTATCATTATCAGATTAAGATCTGCTCATGGTAAAACTTGGTTTCCCACATTGCAGTGTCATGTTTTTATACTTAGTTTTTTGGTAGAGGGCAACAAACTTCAATATCTGGCAAGATAGACTTTGGACAGCTTCTCTTCCCACATAAATGAATTAGAACAGCTTTTGCTGAAAGCACCTTTCTCTGCCATAGTATGGCTCGACAAGTGGCTTAGTCATTAAAGAGTGAATAAGCTCTAAAATTTGTTGACAGTATTTTGATATTGCTAACTAATGCAAGGCCATATTTTCTCCAAAGAGAGCATACTGGGAAGCATGTTTTCAGACTGCTAGCTTTCTTCAAAAGAAATCTTTTTCATCGAGGCTTAGCTCTTGGGTCTTTCTAGAGAAACTTTTTGGGAAGCTGCTTGACAAATGACAAATTATTGCCAAACTTGGTACAGCTCATTGCTTAAGCAATATCATCATCTTTTAGTATACAATACAAAAATGATGGGAACTTATTTTTAAAAATGCTTGATAATTGTAAATTGGTGCCAAAATTGATACAGCTGGTCAGTGAACCCATGCCACCGGGAAATGCTGTGCTCATTTTAGAATTTTTTGAGAAATGTCTGGGTCAGCAAGTCTTAGCCACAAAGGATCAATTAGTAGACTTTGTGACATTACCTGATTACACCTTTCCTAGAATTTACAGGACTTTCTTTTTTTATATACCAAAACTATCAATATTTTGGTGTTATTTTATTATAGATATTATAATTGCTATTATGTTATTGGCACTAGTAACACAAGAGAGAGAAAACATATTTCCTGCTAATTCAAGGAATGGGGAAATCAGGAGTGGTCAATAGAGTCTACTGATAAACTCTGTGCTAACTGAACACGCGTGGAACAATCTGCATGCAACTAAATTCACACAAAAAAAAAATAAATAAATAAAAACTAGGGACAAAACATAAAACCGTACCTAATTATTGACCCTTAATTCTGGCAATTATATATCCTCAGAGCTATACAACCTGAACCAAATCAAGAAATTAATCTGATCAGTGGCATATTTTATATTGTGTTCACCTTGTCATTTTGCTTTTACATTTTAGCTCATTGGAAACAAATGCCTGCAACTTTCAGAGCTATATGATAAATGTTTTTTGTCTCCTCTGATGTATACATATGCATTTTTGAAACTTATAGAAGTTATGCGAGTGTATTTTATTGAAGCATCTCCAATTGGCAAGATTATGCTATATATATATATATATACATACATATACTACATATACATTCATGTACATATACTACATACACATACATACACAATACACATACATACACATACACATACCATACTACACATACACAACATACACACTTATAGCATATATATACTACACACATATCCATATATAGACATACACACAGATACATATATATACCTACACACATAGCATATATATACATACCCACATATCACATATATACAATACCCACATACATACATATATATATATATATACTTATAAATATATATATATATATATACTATATATATATATATATAATATATAGTATACATATATATATACATATATATACCATCCCGACATACATATATTATACATACATATCTATATATATATATTATATATATCTATATAGATATATAATATATCTATATATTATAGTCTAGATACTATTTATATTTTTATTTATATTTATATCTATACTCATCTTTATCTTTATATTTACTATATTTAATATATATTTATATATATAATATATATATATCTATATATATATATATATATATATACTCATATTTAACACACACACAACACACACACACATATATATATATATAAAATATATTAAGTGTTAATTTATACACCTACACTATACATATATATGTTATAATATATTATATATGAATATGCCTAATTTATACACACACACACATATATAATTAATATATATATAATATATATATATATATATATATATATATATATATATATATCTATATGATTTATATATTTATATATATATATTTATATATATGTTTGTGTGTGTGTGTGGTGGTGTGTGTGTGTGTGTGTGTGTAGTGTGTGTGTGTA